TTGGTACATAGATGTCATATGACACTGCACAGACTAAATAGTTTTTAGAGTAATATCAGTACATATTAATTACCTAATTGCATAATTAATTATTTCAGGTTTGATATTCGAGTAATAATGATCACGTTTCAATGAAACTTGGTACATAGTTACTTGAGGACTGTGCAGAGACCTAATTAGTTTTGGGTAAATATTTGTGCATATTAATCACCTTATTAGCATAATTAGCTAATTTTCAGCTTTTCACCTGATATCTCAAGTACTAATCATCACATTTCAATGAGACTTGCGACATAGATATTCTAGGACTATGCAGAGACCTGATTAATTTTGGGATAAATAATTGTGCCTATTAATTACCTAATTTGCATAATTAGTTAATTTTTGTTGCACTGATGTCTAAAAACCACTCATTGGATTTCAACGAAACTTTTCAAGAGTACCTGTCACATTTCAATGAACCTAGGACTATACACCATATTAGTTTTTGGTAAATATTTATGCTTCTTAATCACCTAATTAACATAATTAATTAATACTGTATATCTCAAGTATTGATCATCACATTTGAATAAAACTTGGTACATAAATGGTCTAGGACAATAGACAGCCTGATTAATTTTGGGTTAAAATCTGTTCATATTAATTCTCTAATTAGCATAATAATTAATATTTTTTTGGTTCTAATCACATTTCAATGAAACTTGGTACATTGTGCAGACCTTATTAGTTTTACACTTAAATCTGTTCGTTGCCTTATTTGCATAATTCATTTTCTGCGTTCCCATCAACATCTCAAGTTCAAGTAATTTTGAATTAATTTTTAATGTCTCCAATACTCTCAGCACACGGGAGTTCTTTCTAAGCTTTCTTTGATTTAATGTGTCTCCAATACTCTCAGCACACGGGAGTTCTTTCTAAGCTTTCTTTGATTTAATGTGTCTCCAATACTCTCAGCACACGGGAGTTCTTTCTAAGCTTTCTTTGATTTAATGTGTCTCCAATACTCTCAGCACACGGGAGTTCTTTCTAAGCTTTCTTTGATTTAATGTGTCTCCAATACTCTCAGCACACGGGAGTTCTTTCTAAGCTTTCTTTGATTTTCTTTAGTTCCTCATCATACTGTAGAGTGCTTTATTTTCGCTTGGAATTAATTTTCGCTGAAGAAGTAGTTCAGTGAAAATAAAATCCAGTGAATATACCCATTTTCCTATATTTTACATCCAACTCGTCAAAAATCAGTGAAATTAAATTCCATGAAAAACACACAAAAAGTCTTTTCAGCGAAAATTAAATCCAGCTTAAATTAAGTATTTTACATTAATTTATGGATAGGACACCCTAGCCATGCATAGCATTGTATGGTGTCAATTTATGTTTAAAGACAATCTAGCATTATAATACCATGAACAAACCAAGTCATTCACTGTCAAGACAGCTAGCTACCCACATTCATGCTACAAACAACTCTGCAAAATAACTTTGAACCAACCAACCAACCAACACCATTCTGTACTCATGTATTTGTATACGAGGGGTATACATTGTATGTGCACAAATACACTATATTACATTCAAAAATATATTCACATCATAGCCTTCATAATAGGAAAATAACAAAATGAAGCAGAGCATCCTCAATAATTTTGTTATTTTACTGTTTTACTAACTTCAAAGCCACTTTAAAATCATCTTTCATCCACCCTATAACACATATAATGCATATAATGCATACCATCTTCACCGGCCAAGATTTGTTTATTTGGTCATTGTTTCACCATTACTCCTTGGCAGATGTTACTTGTATATTGCTAATGTATAAATTTTACTTCTGCATCACTGCATTGTCCAATCAAATTGCTTGCTGTAGCTGGACAACATCATGGACAACGGAAGAAGATTTATCTCCCCAGTCAGGGATTGAGCTAACAATTTATAAACAGTTAACCTTTTCACCATTAGTTTCCTCGTTTCATCACAAATTAACAAAATAGTCCTGTTTATAGGCTGCACTTTACTTCAAAAGATTTGGACAAAAATGAAATTTTGACTGTTGGCTCCAAAATTGGGGCTCATTTCCAGAAATATTGAAAATATAAAAGAAAAAAGTGCAGACAAATTTGGGCGAGAAAGTCTGGTGGTGAAAAGTTTAATGAAAATTTCTATGAATAATAAAATTTAACTACATACTGATCATAAATGTGCAAAAGTGAAATGAATATTGAGTATATTGCTTGGATTAGGAGTCATTTACAGCTGTGGGGAAGACATTACATATTCTCTCCAGGCCAAGCATGGTGTTTTTGCCATTCATGGATTCAAAAATTGCATGCTTAAATTTCAAGAAAACAATACAAGTTAAAATAAATATATAAATCAAATGTAATTGTTATGCAAATTATGTACTATTATTATGCAAATTACTCACCATGCCTGGGCGTATATCTAGAATATTGGAAGCAGGGGTTTAACCTTTTCACCCCCAGACTTTTAATAATTCTGGAAATGAACCCAAAGTATGAAGCCGACAGACAAAATTTGAGTCAATTTTCAGTTTTTACTCACAAAATTTGGCTATTTTGCTATAAATTGGACTATTTTGTGAATTTGTGATTCAAAAGAGGGAACTGGTGGTGAAAAAGATTAATATATTTTTAGCTCCGCTGTTGACTTTGTCGAGCGGAGCTTATGATATGAGTGATTATCCGTAGGCGTCCGTCGTCTGCGTCAACTTTTCACTTTTTCGACTTCTTGTTGGAAACTACAAGCCTGAATGCTTTGATACTTGGTGTATATGTACCTTGGTGTAGACCTCTCTTAGATTTGTTCATTTCGTATGATATCTTCAGTTCTGTAATTTTGATGAATATTTTTGTAATTTTTGGTGAAAAGTGATATTTAAGACTTCTTGTTAAATACCGCAAGTTCAATTCCTTAGATATTATACATATATAGGTACTACATGTGGACCTCTCTCAGATTGGTTCATTTTGTGTGATATTTTCAATTTTTTGGTGACTATTTTTGTAATTTTTGGTGAAAAGTGATATTTTCGAATTCCTGTTGAAAACTGCAAGTCAGATTGCTTTGATACTATGCATATTGTTCATTTTCTAATGATATCTTAAGTTCTTTAATTGAAATGTGCATTGTCGATAGACTGCTTGTTTGAAAAATGTGCTCTTATATAAACATCATGGAAAATTAAGCTATACATGTACCAATTCTGACTGAAGCATATTCAACTTTAACCTTCATAGTGACCTATGACCTGCACATTGGTGATTCCCCGCCAGATAGTATGCCATCAGCATCACCTCCTGATGCACCATATGACAGACTCAGATCACCTCCACCTCGTAAAGCTGTCTCACTCTCTTATGATAACATAAGGCCAGGCACCCCCCATTTACGTGCTAACACAGGTGAGTTTTCCCTATATAAGGATTATGTTTTTATAAGAATGTGGAAGGATACAATCAATGGATTTGAAGTGATACATGTACCAGTACTTGTAGTTTTTCCCTTGCAGAATGTCATCAGGTCATACAGCCAATCATAAAAGTCAAAAAGATAATCCTAATGTTTATTGGTGTTGTGTTTACCCTTGTTTCGACTTTTTGTACACTAAGTCTCCATGCATACAAAATTTATTATCGTAGTTGTGGCGCAAAATCGCTGCCGCAATATTCATTGTCACAAATAAAGATCTACTGTAAATCACCTTAACCTTTTCACCACCAGTTTCCTCTGTTCATCACAAATTCACAAAGTAGTCCCGTTTATAGTTTGCATTTTCCTTCAGAAGATTGGGACAAAAATTGCCAAATTTTTGGAGTAAAAACTGAATATTGACTCAAATTTTGTCTGTTGGCTCCAAAATTAGGGTTCACTTCCAGAAATTTTGAAGAATATAAAAAAAAGTGCAAACAAGTTTGGGAGAAAAGTCTGGTGGTGAAAAGGTTAATTTCACTAAATACAAATTTTCGCAAGTCGTAGAAAATGCGGAATTTTGTAGGGCCGGATTAGATGAACATTTTTTTTGAAATTTTGAACCCCAAGTATGGGTCCACCAGCTGTAAAATTGCCTGAGATTATTTTTTGAATGGGCCAATTTACGTCAGAATCTGGTATTACAGCTAATGGTCATGTGACTGTTAGTAACAAATCTTCTTCACTTGTTCTACCTCACAGAATCAAAGTATGATAACTTATCGCCGCTGCCAACAGATCCTCCACCACCGAAACCCCCACGGAGGAAGAAGAAAAAGAAGAAAGGGAAGGAGAGTACAATCGAAGAGGATGCCGAGTTGGCGGGATATGCAGAACCATATGATGTACCACGGAAACCAAATCTATATGCTTCTATCGGGGGTTCGTTTAATGCTATCTCTTCTCAATAAAAAAACAAATAAAACTTTCTGACAACAGCATATCCATCTATCTTTAATTATACTAAATTTTATATACTGTAAAATGACTAATTTTCACTGGGTTTAATTGTTGCTGATTTACCATTTCAGGCATATTCAGTGGGTTTTAAATTCATGGTTTTATCATTGAGATAATGTGTTCTATGCTAAATTTTACATATTCATTGGGTTTTAATTTAGCGCATTTTACAGTCAGCGAAACTGGCAAAATTAAAACCATTTGTAATTTATGTAAGCACAAGTGCTACTAGATTACTATATTTGTTATATTTACTGTAAAATACTTTATTTTATGGAATTAATTTTTGCTGAAAAGACTTTTTGGGTGTTTTGTATGGAATTTATTTTCATTGATTTTTGACAAGTTGAATGTAAAATATAGAAAACAAGGTATATTCGCTGGATTTTATTTTTTGCTGAATCTTTCCTTCAGCGAAAATAGCGGAAATGAATTCCAAGCGAAAATAAAATATTTTACAGTATAGCGTCCATGTAAATGACAGATGTACGCTGTGACCAACACAATTCATATTGTAAGAGACTGTTTAACATTAAAACTGAGATATGAGAAACGTAAGTCGTTCAATTTCGTGTGGAAGGGTAAAATTTAATTTAGTACATGTGGCAAAAAATACAGTAAAAGAATATACAAAACAGACACAAGTGAATGTTGAAAATTGTAAACATGATACAAACATAGGCAAACAAAGTGAAAATGTACAAGCTGGACTAATGAGGGGTTTGTAAAATTTTGCATTAGGAAACATTTGTAGGGGTGGTCAGAACTAGTTACGAATGACTTACATTTTCCATGCAACACTTTTAAAGATGGACCATACATGTACAAGCTCACTAAAATTTGTTAACCCTAAAATAAAAGCAGTTAATACTAGTAAGAGGGAACACTATCAATATCATACCGTATCTGCTTTATTAAAAGTGCAACTCTATTAATAATGCATACAAACCATAAATAACATGCGTTATATACTGAATCAATACAATATGAAATAATATTAATATTATCTATTTATCAGCTAATATGGCTATCTGATCAGATGTAGGTTCACTGCTTGAAAAAACACAATTCACATCAAAATTGTCTGCAGTCTGTGGAAATCCTATGGCTTGACTTCACATTTGTCATTTGTACATGTAAGGTTATTGAGATGCATGTTCACCCTTGATGACTCAACACAAATTTAAATACAGTATTTGGAATATTTCTGGAAATTGTTTGAACATATAACAAAACCAACAATGCCAACCTAAGTATGTTGAATGGCTAATTACTGGTGGGCACCTGTTACAGTGGCTTTTCAGAGCCATGTACAAACTCAGTAAAATTGTAAAATTTTAATTGAAATAAACGTAAAATAATAGTTAAAGAAATGATTTAAAGGGTTAACAGAATTTCAGTTGAATTCATGCAATTGCCAATTGAAAAGTTAATTTACCGAAATGTACCTCGATAAGATAGTAAACACCATTTTGCATGACAACCAAGCTGCTGGCAATGAAGTTATGCCCTGTAACAATGTCAGTGTACACTTAATGTCTGTTTGTTGTCATCGTTGTTTTCATTGATAAGTTTTTTGCAGTTTACAATGGCATTTGAATTTATTTGCAGAAGGAGGTGCAGCACTGAAACCACCGCCATTGCCAAATAGACCAGAATCACATCTACATGATAAAAAGGGTTTGTATTTGTAAATTTTATAGTTGTGGACTAATGATATTAACTTTCATATCAAACACTGGTCCCCTGTTTGTACAAAACTACATCTGACTGTATTTCATTTTCATGCAACACTCACCTGACAGTGAGTTTTGTTATCCAATTGAAGTGAGTGTTATTAAAAAGTGGTATGTATATGTAACACTAGATTTGATTGGTTGCTGATCAACCAAGACCTGAACATGGTATGTAATTGGTCAGATAGGTAGGCTGAATAAAACAAATCAGTGTTTCTTGGATAGGTAGATAGATTGTTTTTGTTTTTTCATTTTATTGTTTTTTTCCCAGTTAGCTGTATTGAAAGCTAATTGCTAGAACATAATCATGGTATCATTTTCACCACTAGTTTTCTCTGTTCATCACAAATTCACAAAATATGTTTATAGTCTGCATTTTTCTTTGGGATAAAAACAGCCACATTTTTTGAGTAAAAACTGAATGTTGACTCGAATTTGGTCTGTTTGCTCCAAAATTAGGGTTCATTTCCATTTCAAGAAAAAAAGTATAGAAAAATTTGGGCGAGAAAGTCTTGTGGTAAAAAAGTTAAGTACAGAAATGAAAGTTAGATTTATATTTTTTTTTATTCACTACATAGTTTTGGCAGTAAATAAAATAATGAATAACAGCAAAATGACAATTGCATAGAAATAAATAATATGGGACTAATTTGCATAAAATAAACTTTTCACCCCACCCCCACCCCAATACTACACCACATTTATCTTTATATATTTGGCTGATGTACTTGATTGGTTGTGTATTAATAGTTCACATAACATATCTACTCCTATCCAAAAATTCAATTCCAAAATTTTTTTGGCCTAATCAATCAATCAATCATTAAAGTTGTTTCAATAGTAAATAATTTTTCCAATCTCGTCACCAGGTGGAAAAAAGTATCAATGTCGTCGTGCTGATACCAATGTGATATCAGTAAAGTTTGACACACTTGTGAAACCAAGTCACATGCATACCGGTGATTCAGTGACGTGTGAAGGATGCGGAGCAGTGCTGTCTCATCTTAGTATTCTGACAGACTCTGGAGATGGAGGCAAGGTAAGTCAAAGTCAAATAACTCAAATGAAATAATATTGAAATAAAAAAAGAATGACTGAAAAGCATGTCTGAATAGGGACAGCAGAAATAGACAGACTGTTATATACATGACAATTTTGACGAAAAACACATTATTTAGTATTAATTATTTTCTATACATACATGTATAGCCAGTGAAAAATTATATCCATTTGGTCTAAAATTATCAAATCAATCATCAGAAAATAATTAAAAAATGACAAAAAATTCAGAAACGAATTGATGGAAAAAATTCAAACTAATGGTTAAGGGTGGCCAACTCAAAGTGCGTGTTCAAATTTCATGTAACAGTTTATTGTACATGCATTGTGTACGTCGTCATAAGTCCCATATCAAACAGGAACCCATCACCTTCCTTAAATCAATCTTTCTTCCATATTGATCATTGGCGTCATTGTCGTGTCAAGGTATATATCCACTTACACGGTAGTCAGATTTGCCAGAAAGTACCAAATATAGTAAAAATTTCGCAAAAAACTAACAACAATGTGATATTCTCTAGAATTCGAATGGCATCACGAATATTTCAGCTTCAGTGGCAAAACCTAAGAGGCACTCCTGGGAGTTGACTATTCCATGAGCATATACCCATGTTCTGTTTTTCTTTTTTCGTTTTATTTGTAGATTTGGAAATGCGAGTTTTGTGAACATATCAACCGAGTCGACATAATGGACGGGGAAATTCCTAAAAAAGATGATGTGACATATATGTTACAACCGTCGCCAGGAACGACAGACCCGGCCGGATATTTTGGAGATGATTCAATTATTATATTTGTTATGGATGTGTCTGGTAGTATGTGTGTTACTACACCGGTATGTACCTCACATTGACAGATTTCCAATTACTGATAGTTTAACATTTTCACCACCAGACTTTTAGCCCAAATTTTTCTGAACTTTTTCCTAATATCTCTTTAATTTTTTCTTGAAATGATCCTTAATTTTGGAGCCGACAGACAAAATGTGGGTAAATTTTCAGTTTTTAGTCAAAAATGTTGGCTATTTGTCCCAATCATTTGCAGACTATAAACAGAACTGTTTGGTAAATTTGTGATGAAAAGATGTAACTGGTGAAGAAAAGGTTAATTAATTTAGCAATTTGTTTTTACCTGTAATGATAATGGAGGCTGCAGGGTAGAGATTTTTGTCATTAACATATTCTTTAAAATACCTCCATGAATCCCCAAAATGAAATTGAAAAAAATGACATCGTCGTGGAATCTAACTTTTTGGTCAAAAGCAATGTAAAGATTTCTTTACATGGTCTACCCATTAGCAGAATTTTGTGCTGATGTATCACTGTGTTTTCAGGTGCCAGGTAAATTTCCTCTGAGAGCTAACGATTCTACAAGGGCATTAGAACTGTATAACACTTCACCAGATACAGACCAGTACATGCCGTCTGAAAGACGAGGTACCACCTATGTGTCAAGATTGCAGGTAAACATTCACACACTCTTGTTTTATTATTCCCTTTATCCTTTTCACCAATAGACTTTCTCGTATAAATTTATCTGCACTTTTTTTTTTATGTTCTACGATATTTCTGGAAATGAATCCTAATTTTGAAGACAGCAGACAAAATTTGAGTCAATTTTCATTTTGTACTCAAAAATTCAATCTTCTGAAGGAAAGTGCAGACTATAAACAGTACTACCATAAAATCTGTATTAGAAGCCGCATCTCTAATATAATTCGCACCCATTCTTTTTGAACAATTTCCATTTCTCATACGTGTAGGTGCTCTAAAAGAAGCTGCATCCCCTCTGTTGAATTGTACCATTTTAATAGAAGTCGCAGCTTCTAATACAGATTTACAGTATTTTGTGAGTTTGTGATAAAAATGGGGAACTGGTAGTGAAAAGGTTAAGCAGCAAACTTTGCTGTGTTTTCGCTTAAAAAACTTTGCAGACAATGTGAACAAAATCAATGAATGTTAATATTCAAAATTAATGTAAATATGATTTTGAACATATTTTTATGGATGGTTAAATGTATAATAATCTGGAGTATTCCGGTAAATCATGTCATATGTGTTTAATTTTCAGGCAATGCAAAGTGCAGTAGATCACAATCTCAGTAAACTGTGTAAAGATTGTTCTACCAAGAGAATTGGACTTGTTTCTTTTAATAATGAGGTAAATAATAATTTGTATTTATGCAAATTTAAACATAAATGTGTCGGTGTGCATTTCACACACACTTTAATTGTCACAAAATTTAAATGGCGATGGTCATTGCGCACCACACACGTGCGAGATATGGGTTCCTTACGAGCAAAGATCACGACTTTGATTGATGCCCTTATAAACGCATATACATTGTAAGTCACGACTAAGATGACCCTCTAGGTAACTGTGATTGGTGATGGCTCTGACATTCCTATATTAAAATATTTCATCTGACCCCCTAGGTAACTGAGTGGTGATTGCTCAGACACTCCTATATTCATATATTTCATCTGTCCCCCTAGGTAACTGTGATTGGTGATGGCTCTGACACTCCTATCACATTAGCTGGAGATAAACTTTATGACAAAGAAAACCTCATCAGTTTTGGAAGTCAGCTACCATTGCCAATGTTTATCAAAGAAACCAGAAATGTCCTAGCTGATAAAATTTTCAAGTAAGTCCTAGAAAGCAATTGTATTGGAAACATTCACTATGCTTCTTCTGTTAGTAGTAAGCGGTTGGGCATTAGAAACTCGTGAGGATATAAAAATAAAACTGTGCTAATGATTTTTTTTTTTTCATTTTTTTTTTGGCTTTTTTTGAAAAAATCATAGTAATGGCATAATGCCTGTCATCTGGTGTCGTTGACATCGTCGTTCGACATCATAAACTTTGTTCTCACTACATATTTTTTTAGATTGCTTTGATTGTATTTTTACCCAATCTCCCAGAGTTTCTAATAGTCAACCTATATATATATATATTTAAAAATAGTTTCAATTTTACAATACCTTTCTAAAAATGGAACTTTCTAAATGGCATGGTGTATGAAACAGATTAAATGAGGACAGCGTGTGTAGCCGATAACAACTTTCTCATCCCCAACTGCATTACTTTGCTCGGACTTTTCAGCAATGTGTTGTGAACAAAAGCCTTGAAAAATGATTGGATCGTCACTGCAGTACTTCTCACCACCAGACATTCTCAGCCAAATGTTTCTGCATCTTTTTTTTTTTTATAGTCTTCAATATTTCTGGAAATAAATTTTAGTTTTGGAGCCAGCAGGCAAAATTTGTTTCAATTTTCAGTTTTTAGCCAAAAAATTGGCTATTTTTGTCCTAATCTTCTTAAGGAAAGTGCAGACTATAAACGGAACTATTTTGTGAATTTGTGATGAAAATAGGAAACTGGTGGAGAAAAGGTTAAACAAACAAACAGCTTTATGAATAATTTATCCCATGACATCATTTGAAATGACTTCACATATTATTACATAATGTTTATAATTAGTCATGAAATCATTTGCATCAGAGTGAATAACTCTGTGATTATGCTCAAAACCTTGAAATAGTGAAATCAGTTTGCAGTGAAAATCAATATTTTTACAGTACCAATCATGTCACATCATAGATTTTGTAATGTGATTATAATTTTGAAATATTTTATTTCACATGCCAGTCTTGAAGAAGGTGGACAGACTGCGCTAGGGCCATCACTTTTGGTTTCTGTTGCCATGGCATCTCAGAAAGCAGGGTCAAAGGTCATAATCTGCACTGATGGTAAGGCTAACATAGGCTTGGGATCGCTAGAGGCAGAAGAAGATGATATGGCATATGACACTGCTGCTATGTTTTATGAAGATTTGGGGACCTATGCCAGAGATAAAGGGTGAGTCAGAGGAAATGTCTCATATGGTAATAAAGGAGTCAGAGGAAATGCCTTATATGGTCATAAGGGAGTCAGAGGAAATGCCTTATATGGTCATAAGGGAGTCAGAGGAAATGCCTTATATGGTCATAAGGTAGTCAGTAGAATTGCCTTATATGGTAATAAGGGAGTCATAGGATGTGCCTTATATGGTAATAAGGGAGTCGGAGAAAATGCCTTATATGGCAATAAGGGAGTCAGTGGAATTACCTTATAAGGTAAAAAGGGAGTCAGAGGATACTGTAAAATGACCAATTTTCACTGGGTTTAAATTTCGCTAATTTACCATTTCAGGCATATTCAATTGGTTTTAAATTCACAGTTTTATCATTTAGATAATGTGTTCTATGCTAAATTTTACATATTCACTGGGTTTTAATTTAGCACATTTTCCAGTCAGCGAAATTAAAACCCAGTGAATAATTGACCCTTCTACAGTATGCCTTATATGGTAATAAGGGAGTCAGAGGAATTGTCTTGTAAGGTAAAAAGGGAGTCAGAGAATATGCCTTATATGGTAAAAAGGGAGTCAGAGGAATTGTCTTATAAGGTAAAAAGGGTGTCAGAGGATATGCCTTATATGGTAATAAGGGAGTCGGAGGAATTGCCTTATATGGCAATAAGGGAGTCAGAGGAATTACCTTACATGGCAATAAGGGAGTCAGAGGAATTGTCTTATAAGGTACTAAGGGAGTCAGTGGATATGCCTTATATGGTAAAAAGGGAGTCAGAGGAATTGTCTTATAAGGTAAAAAGGGTGTCAGAGGATATGCCTTATATGGTAATAAGGGAGTCGGAGGAATTGCCTTATATGGCAATAAGGGAGTCAGAGGAATTGTCTTATAAGGTACTAAGGGAGTCAGTGGATATGCCTTATATGGTAATAAGGGAGTCAGAGGAAATGCCATATATGGCAATAAAGGAGTCAGAGGAATTGCCTTATATGGTAAAAAGGGAGTCAGAGGATATGCCTTATATGGTAATAAGGGAGTCAGAGGAAATGCCATATATGGCAATAAAGGAGTCAGAGGAATTGCCTTATATGGTAAAAAGGGAGTCAGAGGATATGCCTTATATGGTAATAAGGGAGTCAGAGGAAATGCCATATATGGCAATAAAGGAGTCAGAGGAATTGCCTTATATGGTAAAAAGGGAGTC